TGCTACACAGGAAAACTAAATCAAAGATAATCCCGTGGATAAACAGGTTTTAACATGCTACACAAAAAGCTCATTCAGTGATAATCTCGTGGATAAACAGGTTTTAACATGCTACACAAAAAGCTCATTCAGTGATAATCTCGTGGATAAACAGGTTTTAACATGCTACACAGGAAAACTAATTCAAAGATAATCCCGTGAATAAACATGCTGTCTTTAACATGCTAGACAGGCAACCTAATTGAAGGGTAATCCCAGAGGCTTTGGCGTGCTATATAAAAAAAAAAATAACTCAGCTTGTTTCAAAATAAATATTTTTGTAAAACACAATGTTTATGCATGTTATTGAAAATATACCATTAAGGAAATACAGACGTACTCGTTGAAGAGAAAGAGCTGCCGCGTGTAGGTCACGTTGTGCGTGTTAAGTGTAGCTAAGACTAGTCACTAAAGTGCCCATATCTGTTGTAATTAATATTTCAACGTGTCAAAAAGTATTAAATACTCTGATATTACTATAGATACTTTCAAACTGCCATTTGTGACCTCATTTATTGCAAGAGAAGGGAAGAGGTTTTTTGTGTTTTTTTTTCTTTTCATGGAGACGCCCTTTTTATGTCTTTAAAAAATCGCAGAAAATATTAAGTTGGAGTAATCTTTAAACCACGAAGAGTGCATTACCGTTGTCAACCATAAGTTGTTACAATAGTAGAAGGACGGTTTGTCTGTTTGTTTTGAAATTCACGCAAAGCTACACGAGGGCTGTCTGCGCTAGCCGTCCCTAATTTAGCAGTGTAAGACTAGAGGGAAGGCAGCTAGTCATCACCACCCATCGCCAACTCTTGAGCTACTCTTTTACCAACGAATAGTGGGATTGACCGTCACACTCTAATGCCCCCACGGCTGAAAGGGCGAGCATGTTTGGGGGGAACAGGGATTCGAACCTGCAACCCTCAGATTGTGAATCGAGCGCCCTAACTACCTGGCTCGGGAGACGGAGTAATCAACCTATGTCAAATATGTAAACAAAACTCGACACACTACCTTAAAGTTGGTACTTAATTTTATTGTGAAGAACTAGATCCGATCCCTGTAAACTGGTTAAAGAGGGTACTTAATTTTATTCTGAGGAACTAGATCCGTTCCCTGTAAACTGGTTAAAGATGGTACTT